ACAAGTTTGTCCTGCTGTTGGAGACCTCTCGTATCCCCCCCACCTGGGTCCCTGTGGCTGACTGTTCCTCTGTCTGGCTTCCTGTCTTTTAATCTCCTTTCTCCTGCTCTTCTGGCCTACTTCTTTGGGCGTCCCTGAGTTTCCCCTCCTCACCTAATCCCTTTGGCTGATTTCTCTTCTCTTTGGCTTCCTGGGTTTTATCCCCTTTCTCCTGCTCTTCTGGCCTGCTACTCTGGTCAGAGCTGAGTTTCCCCTCCTCACCTAATCCCTTTGGCTGATTGCTCTTCTCTTTGGTTTCCTGTGATTTACCCCTTTCTCCTGCTTTTCCGGCCTGCTACTCTGTGCTACGCCCGTGCTTACCTTGCTCCCTGAGACCCGGTCCCTCTCGGGAGGGTAACAAGGGAAAGTTTTCAGTGCAGATCAGTGAGTAAGTATAAGCCCGCCCGTGCTTACCTCGCTTCTGGTTACTAAGCACAAGCCTGCCCTTGCTTACCTCGCTCCCGGGGACTAAGCACAAGCCCGCCCATGCTTACCTTGCTCCCGGAGACCCGGTGCTTCTCGGTAGCATTGCAAAGATTGGAACCCATTTCAGTGGCTCACCTGTCTGATTATTTCTTTGTTAAAGAATGAAAAAGACTACAGTCTTCAGCATGGATTGTACCTCAACATAAATAAAATAAAAATCCTTACTAAGAACCAATAAGCAACATCAGGACAAAAGAAAAAAATATTGACATTGTCAGAGATTTTGTTTTGTTTGGATCCATAATCTGCACCCATGGAAGCAGCAGTCAGGAAATCAGATGATGTATTGCATTGGGCACATCTGCTGCAGAAGACCTCTTTAAAAGTTAAAACGTAAAGCTGTCACTGAGGACTAAGATGTGCCTGACTAAAACCATGGTATTTTCAGTTGCCTCATGTCCATGTGAAAGCTGGATAATGAATAAGGAAGGCTGGAGAAGAATTGATGTATTTGAATTATGGAATTTGCAAAGAATATTGAACATACCATGTAGTGCCAGAAAAACATACAAATCTATCTTGAAAGAAGTGCAGTCAGAATGTTCTTTAGAAGGGAGGGTGGTGAGACTTTGTCTCGTGTACTTTGGACATGTTATCAGGAAGACATCACGCTTGGTAAAGTAAAGGGTGAGTGAAAGAGAGGAAGATCCTCAATGAGATGGATTGACAGAGTGTCTGCAATAATGGGCTCACACATAGCAAGGATTGTGAGGATGGTGCAGGACCATACAGTATTTCGTTCTGTTGTGTGTAGGCTTGCTATGAATCGGAACCAACTTGATGGAATCTGACAACAACGCAAAGAATGAAAATCCAAGCTTTGCTATCCATGGTACTGTGTTCAGAATTTACCGAGTCTCTTTATGTAGCTTATTCTGCCTGTGACGTTCTCATTGACTCTAGAGAGGGACTTTATAAAAGAAAATTTCTTCCCTAGTGGAATAAAATTGGCCTTAAAGAGTTTGTACTAAATTGATTAATGCAGGAAATGACTTAAAGGTTGGATCCAGGATGTTTTGTGTTTTTTTTTTTTTTGGTAGATATTTTCTTGGCAGTAGTATTTACGTATGCCTAAATATAGTTAATGATGGATATTACTTAAGTCCAAACTTATATTCATTTACTGATTAATGAACCAGTATTTATTTTATTCATTTTGTGCCAGATATGAAAATATAAAACTGGGGTAGGTGTGCAGGATCCATGTCGACTTGTGGAGACATGTATAAGACAAATAATTCAGTTAGACTAGGGATTAGTGCTTTGTATAAATGGAGATAAGTGTGTGTATGTATGTGTATAGTTAGATGTTGTTGTTAGGTGCTGTTGAATCAGTTGGGACTCGTTAGGGACCCTATGTATAGCAGAACAAAATACGGCCTAGTCCTGTGCTGCTGTTGTTGTTGTTATGTGCCGTCAAGTTGGACCCAACTCATAGCGACCCCTCCTTGGGTTTCCGCGGCAGTATCACTACGGAAGTAGATTGCCCAACCTTCCTTCCGAGGAGTGGCTGGTGGATTTGAACTGCCAGGCTTCTGGTTAGCAGTCAAGTGCCTTAGGCACTATGCCACCAGAGCTCCCAGTCCTGTGCTAGTCTCACTCTATTGTTGTTATGGTTCAGTCCAGTGTTGCAGCCACTGTGTCAGTCCATCTCATAAAGGTCTTCTTCTTTTTTGCTAACATTATACCAAGCATACTATCTTTGGTATAGTTATATATTTTATGTAATATATACATATGAGCACTGGTGGTATAATGGTTAAGAGCTCAGTTGCTAATTGAAAGGTTGGAGGTTCAAACCCACCAGCAGCTCCACCGGGAAAAAAGACTTGGCAATTTGCTTGCCTAAAGATGACATCCTAGAAAACCCTATGAGGCAGTTCTGCTCTTTCCTGTAGGGTCACTATGAGTCAAAATAGACTTGATGGCACACAACAACAATATATACATATATATGTGCTAGTGAAATACAAAGTTCACACTATTCCTGTGAGAGTGAGAATAAGAAAGTCTTCCTAAAGGAGATGATATTTACTTTTCATTTCAAAAGCCATGTGGAATACACTACCTAGTTCTGGTATTTTGGGAGCTCTGGTAACATAGTGGCTAAG